GAGTCGCATAATGGGACGAAACGGCCGTCCAGTGCTTCCAGGTTTTCGATGGTGGTCTAGCTTCAATTGACTCATGATCTCAACTCTATAAATTAGGTTAAATTGTTTAATTTAACTAAGTGAAAATATTATGAATGTTCGACAGTTATTATATATAGATCACCACCTGTTGGTGGCCAAACTAGAAATAAAGCTAAATAAAATGTGGACAACTGAGCAAATATTATTATGAAAATTTGACACAGCCATTATTCAAGATGCTAGAAAGCTCTGAGATTTTATGATAGATCTCATCTACAAGTTCCAAGACCCATAAGATATGGAAGAGGAAGAAGGTGAAACTAAGGTGACAAATAAATGAAAAGAAGTTAAAGTAGGAATTACTTCAAAATACCAGTAGATATGAAGCTTCAAGAAGTAAAAAAACAAAATATGATTATCTGTAGGTAGTTTTGGCAAAAATGAAAAACTAGAAAGTGGCAATTCCCATAAATGGTCCCTCATTCACAAACACAGAATTCATATACAGAAAGAATTACAAAGCTTCTCTATGTTCTGATTAGGGAGAGAAGGGCACGTTATTGCAAAATGGAAAGAGGTACATCTCATCCTGACACTGAAAAACTAAGGCTCAAGTTAAAGAAGTTTCAGCACCAGTTAAAGATTTCAACAGTATTATTGAACTGAATAGAAGATTTTAAAGACCCGAAAATTTGAGATCAGCAGACAGGTTTTTGTAAATATCGATCATTTATAGATCAGTAACAACAAATACTAGAGGAAACAGCTGATTAAACAGTGGCATCCACAGAAATAAGTCTCAACATTCACAGGAAAAAAGAAAGATCCTGTAGAACAATGGCATGCACAAACTAAATCACGCTCGCTAGTGATGTTCTGCTAGAGTTAGAAGACTTTACGCACTTGGATGCCATCATTGACAAACATGAATTATTTGATGCTAATATCAAGCAAAGGAATCTGCAAAACACCGGCAACATTCCTACAAATAGATGTTATGTGAAACTTAAAAAAACTGATACCCAAGACCGATATAAGAGTTATCAATGCGAACGTCAAAATTTTGTTATAATCCGCCAAAGCTTGGAAGACTTATACAGCATGGTGACTAACAGTGGAATCGAAAACGCGCGTTTCGTCCTATTTGAAGCAAACGGTATTGGATTCCAGTGCCATCAATTCTGGGATACAGGTCCATCCAACTGACGAGTCGCTAATAGGAAGAAACGCGCGTCGTCGATTCTACTGCTAGCCATCATCTTTGCTTAGGGTGCTTGTGACTATCATTCACTTATATATCTTTTTAATATTTCCTCAACACTCACTCATATTATACACCACGAAACCTGTAGATTACAGGTTTGACCTTGTGAAATGTCATACAAGTACCTTGCTGTTGTGTTCCTAAATAAGTCGACAAAGTTACCTTATACAATTTAGTCTGAGATAGTACACAGCTTCTTGTTCAGTGATCAAATCAATATATCACTAATTCTAAACAGCTTTCCTCTTGAAAAGAAGGATTCATTATGAATATCAGTGATGCAGGATCACTAATTCACCAATTGTTTTCAACACTCAAATAATACAATCTTATCAGTTAATTGTATCAGTTAACAAGTACACTGACGTTACATATGAAGGAAAAAAAATACACATCAAATATGGCTTTACTTAATTTTCCAGCTATACATTGTAAGCATATGTGTGTTTATCATAATGACTTAATCATACAAATCACTGTATTTTTTTAAAAACAAATATAGTTATTTTATATAGTTGAAATCATGAGTCAATTGAAGCTAAACCACCATGGAAAAGAACCAGAAAGCAATAGAATACCGTTTCGTCCTATTGTGGGACTCCTCATTAGTGTGCATCCACGATCCCATCTCGTGAGATGCAAACCCAGGACCTATCAGTCTCGCGCGCGAACGTTTAACGTCTAGACCACTGAGCTGGCACCCACGAAATTGAGCAACCGTTCACCAATTGTCTTCAATGAGTTGATATCTCCCATTACAGGCCTAGTTGAACTCCACTGGTTACTGCTTCTCATTAGAACTCCAAGAAATACTTCATGGTTACCTCATTGTTTAAATTAAAACGTGATGAGAAAAATAAAAGGCTAATTAAGTAGAATACACTATATTATTTACTCACTTGCGCCTGTCACTCCCAATGGAGCATAAGACGCTGAACAGTATTCTCCAACTCACTCTGTCCTGGGCCTTCCTTTCTAAATCTATTCAATTCTTGTTCATTCTTCTTATTTCTGTCTCTATTTCTCGGCGTAATGTGTTCTTTGGTCTTCCTCTCTTCCGTTGGCCTTCAGGATTCTAAGTGAAGGCTTGCCTTATAACGCAGTTGGGTGATTTCCTCAATGTGTGTCCTATCCACTTCCAGCACTTCTTCTTCATTTTCTCCTCTGCTGGAATCTAGTTAGTTCTCTCCCACAGTAGCTTGTTGTTGATAGTATCTGGCCAACGGATCCGACGTATTTAACATAGACAACTGTTAATAAACATCTGTATCTTTTAGATGATGGATTTTGTAATTCTCCAGGTATCCGCCCTATACAGTAGAACTGTAGCGGCGAACACTTCGGACTCTGAATATACTACATTAACAAGAATAAAATAATAAATGAGCTTCGAGAGATAGTAGATGATTATGAGAGACCTATGATAAAATTAAAGTCTTTGAATGTAAATGTGTATATAAGTAAGAAGACAACTGATTAAGTAGTATAAGACAAACTATTTATTTCAGGATTATTAAATAAATCAGATTCTGATAGAAATAAGAAGAATACATCAACAATCGCAAGACCCTTATTCAAACAGTCTGATATATAGCACACTCAATTGAGGAAAGGTAAATTAATTAAAAAAATGGAAAGTATAAGAATATGTGGAAAATTGAACATAACAATTCAAATCAATAATGTTGTTTACATATCCCATTTTACATATCCAACATAAGGAAACTGTTCCAATCTAACATAGAAAACCAACAAGTACTACACAGATGATCCATTCGAACATCACAAAATCAACAAAACAATATTTTAGAAATAATATCTGTCATACAACACATTCACATTTCAATTCCCATATACAGAAACAACAACGATGACAACATGAGAAGTATAGGCAGTAAAGGACAACTGAATGAAGTAAATATAAATCAGAATGATGGAACACATTCAAAGAAGAAAAATCTACAAAATGTTGTGAATGATCACTATCTCCGAGAACATAATCACTCATCAACTCATACGTATGTGAAACTCAATTTCAGTTCAATACAATTCAACTAACATCATCTCTGTAACTCATAATCATAATTATGTCACAAACAACAGAATTCAATAATATCTACACAAAAACTGACCACTATTCACAATACTCCTATACTCCAATGAGATGACTGGCAGCAACTCTGCAAATATACGAAACATTATTACATTGTGGATACTGAATATCTATGAAAGTTCATAGAATATAAATTGTTGCTTATCACTGATGTTCGGACATCTACCGGATAACAAGATATTTGAAGAGAAAATTTGAACAGCTATTCAACACATCTACTAATCAACACACATTCATTCAATTCAATACAACATCAATATCTCTCAACAGACAGGATATATAAACACTCACATATCATCATATATTCAACGAAGTACTCTCACAATCACTCAACATCGATGTACTGATTGTTCGAAGACAATCACATTCTCATTGATGATCCACACTCATACTCAACACACAGATCTCTCAAGAAAACACACTTTAACATATGTACACTCTATACAAAAACAAACAGTATTCACAGAACAGAGTGAGTTCATGTTGATTTCTGTGAAATGAAATGCAACAAAATGGAATGAGATGTCAGTGTTAATTGTTTGAATTAGAGATGGTTCATATTATCGATAATGATTGATATTATGGTAACACTATAACTAGTTTGGTAGTAGTTAGATAGAACTAGAAAGGAACGTCTAGGACAGAGTGGGTTGGAGAATGCTGGTCGTCGGCCTATGCTCCATTGGGAGTAACAGGCGTAAGTAAGTATTCTCATTTGTATATTATTCATGAACAGATTAAAATCTTCTCTTTGAATGATAATTTTGATCACCAGTTTAATGATTAAACTAAATGGATCCATTACAAAAAGGAAAAACAAAACAGGAAAATACTTTTCTCTCAAATTATTTTACTGGAATAAACAACAAATCAAAAGTACTAAGTTTATTTTATAAACTTTACGATAAACTCACTTAGTATTGTTTGTTTGAATCTTCCAATTGATGTTAAGGACTGCAACTGGTCAGTCTCTAATCGGTATATTTGCATTTTATGCGTATTGCCTCGATATAGCCTTATTTCATAAGCATTATAAACACAGATGGATATTGACTAGCAATGGAATCCAGGAAGCGCGTTTTCGTCCTGTTTGGGACTCGTCATCTGGATGTACCTGCTCTCCAAACTTGATATTCACTCTTGGACTCAAACCTAGTACCTTTCACTACAGTCACCATCGCGTTAACCACTCTGCCACTGAGTCCTTATAGCCACTTGCTTGTGCGATGGGGTGAAGTTTGAATTCACTTGGTATTGTTTGTTTGAATCTTCCCATTGATATTTAGGACTGCAACTGGTCAGTCTTTAATTACAAGCATGATAAACTGTTCTAACATGAGATCTGTCAAATCAATTCCTAATATCTCACCGCCTTCCAAAAAAAGCAGATCAAAATGGTTTTAGACAATTTTTTTTTACACGAAAACATAGATCATATATTACCGACAGTAAACATATCAATGTAAATTCACTACTGAAGGTCATGTGTTCAAAAAAAAAGGGAAATATGAACTAACCAATCAACATTCATTTAAAAAAAATCCTACTCGTAATAAAATTGAGTAACAAATCATAATCTAGTTTATTCCATATATCTATATATATATATATAACTAAATACTATTTAAGTAATACCTCTTCATTAAAGACTATCCCATCATTCGGTATCATACCTTCTCAAAAATACAAAAATAATTTGTGAAAATACCAACAAAAAAAAACAAATTATGTATTGTTATGTGAATGGACAATATTCATTTAATTGGAATGTTAAATCCATGAATTCCATGAGTATACTACTTATATTACTACTTAAATTTATATTATTTCAATCTAATTCAATATTTATTAATGCAGATGAATTAAATCTTAATAATAATAATAATAATAATCTATCAAATATACAAAATGATCAACAACGTGCACAAGCATTAGCTAAACTTATGTCATTATTTTATACTAGTGATGCATTTAATAAATATATGGAAAATCTTGATGCATATTATATGCTTAGAGGTAGACCAAGGTAATGAATATTTTTTGTTGTTGTTGTTGTTGTTGTAATTATTAGTAATATTAAAAAGAGGGGTTATTTGTGGAGATTTGAGTAATTGCCTTCAAAATGCCCTGATACGACCAAGAGTAGGGAGAGTTCGCTTTCCCTCTCGAAATGCTCTCACATGGACATAAGTAATATAGCCTCTGTGAAGGAAGTCCTACTCACTGCCTTCTCATAGCATTACTTTTTTTTACGAAATTGAAAGGACGAAAAGCGAATGTCCGGAGCATTAACTGGATTGGTGGACACGGAAAATCTATTTAGGGGAGTTGTAAAACCTTAATTTCAAACCAATGGTGCACATGGACTCCAGTATCTTGAGGGAACAAATAGTGTATGAATCAATCATTGATCACCGGTTACTATTGGACTGCATCTCATCACGATGCTCCACTGCCTTTTGGATTAGGCTTTTAGGTCAAAGGCTTCGTGTGTGACCCCTTAAAAAAACTACCTGTTTCAGTTTAGGCACCTGGACAGTATCATAGCCCTCACACAAATCTTATTTGATTTTTGTGGCACATATGTATTCAATGCCACTTTGTACCAATATTTATGTGTTTAAACAAAATAATAAAATAATTGAAATAATAAGTCAATTGAAACTAGACCACCATGAAAAATCTGAAAGCACTGCTAAGGTGTCCAACAATAGAACGAAACGGTTAATTAACTAATGATTTCAACTATATAAAATTATTAGTAATGTTTACTATCTAATTATATTATTATTATTATTAATATATTCGTAAGCATGATTCAATTGAAGCTAGACCACCAATTCAATTAATTCATGCTTTCATCTATGAAATGTACCAAATCTCCACAAAAACTCCTTCTAATAATTAATATATATTCATTATTAAATATGATTGGATATATTTAACATAATTAATTACATTAGTTTAAATGGTTATTTAATTAGTCATAAACTGATATACGTTAGATTATCACTGAACCATAAACCTGGAAGCACTGGACGGCCGTTTCGTCCTATTATGGGACTCCTCAGCAGTCTAACTGGTCTAGCCTCAATTGACTCATGATCTTAACTATAAAATTACTAAATCTCCACAAAAACCCCCCTTGTGATAATAATCATATGCTCACTAGGGAATGGTTCCTTGAGGTAATTCCTGGAGTTCTAGTGAGAAGTCGTGGCCAGTGGAGCTAATCCATGTCAGGTAGAGACAGGTATCTACCTCAGTACATTGGAAGTTGGTTGCGCAATTTCGTGGATTGGTTGAGGTTAGACATTAACACCGTTGGATGCCAGCTCAGTAGTCTATCGGTTAAGGGCTCCGGCTCGAGACTGGTAGGTCCTGGGTTCGAATCTCGCGAGAGCGGGTTCGTGGATGCGCACTGCTGAGGAGTCCCATAATAGGACGAAACGGCCGTCCAGTGCTTCCAGGTTTTCGATGGTAGTCTAGCGTCAATTGACTCATGATCTTAACTATAAAATTACTAAATCTCCACAAAAACCCCCCTTGTGATAAATATATTATGTTAGCCATTTATTTTCTTACTGAAGGGCTTATATTGTGTTGAATTAAACTTATCAGTTATTAAGCAAACTTCTCTAATATGATTCTTTGATTCTTGTTTACAATCATATTTGATTAACCTTTTTTTAGTGTTTTTGTTGACATTTTTTTTTAAAAAAAAAACAAACAAACAAAACAACGAACATTATTTACTATATTCTGAGTTATATGTAATATCCAATGATACTACTTAAATTGGTTGATTAGAAATAGTATAATGAAATGTAGGTTTGTTCTATGAGCTAGATTATTTGATCGTGGAGTTTTCATCATCTTTCTGAATGATATCATTAGCATAAACTTCGAGGAGAATTGAAGTGTTTAAATTTCTCTATATCTGATTCATAGCTTACCAATAAGAACCAATCAATATCGAGGTACACATGACAAGCTGTGAATCATATGTAGAGTTTCAGTGTATGGTCTTTTCTGTGTTACAATAACGAATTCAGTATATATATGACTGTTAATGAACTAAATTTAAAATAATCAAGTGCACAAATGATTTTATGAGAATATTAAGGAGTTAAGAAAAAAAATTATGTTTAACGTCAAGGTAACTAGAGATTCACACTTCTAAAGTTTCCAGATATATTTCAAATAATAAAAACAGATGAAATTAGTGTAATCCCATAAACGGGGAGTATTTTGAGTATTATAAGATTGATAAATCTTAAAATGTATAAAAACAAACTTGCCATTACCTCAGCTAACCTTCGGCTAGTTAACTTCAATAATTTTGTTTATTTATTTGTTTACACACATAAGGTATCAAATACTTTAATGTAACCTAACAATCCATACAGTCTTAATATCTGTTTAAAATCAGTTCTATTATCTCAATAAGATGTAAGTCAATTTGAATTACGTGTAGATGAGGAGTCCCACAATAGGGCGAAACAACCGTCTAGTGCTTCCAGGTTTTCCATGGTGGTCTAACTTCAATTGTCTCATGATTTCAACTATATATAAAAAAATACTAAAAATCTCCATATACAACCCCCAATAACTGAAAAGTAATTTTTTCCCCTTTACAGTGACAGAATGGTTAACTGGAATAATATTGAAAAGATTATATAAACTGAGCTACATTTTAATAATTCTACTCAATGTTTACTTGTCCACAGAAAATAGTCTCATTTAATTTATTACTTAATTGATAGAAACATGAATAATTGTAAGAAAGAAGTGGTATACCGTATTAAACAAAGGTCAATAATTCTTACTGAACAAAAGTCTAACTAAAAAAAAACATGAGTCATTTAAAGCTAGACCACCATGGAAAACCTGGAAGCACTGGACGGTTGTTTCATCCTATTGTGGGACTCCTCATCTACACGTAATTCAAATTGACTTACATCTTCTTGAGATAATAGAACTGATTTTAAACAGATATTAAGACTGTATGGATTGTTAGGTTACATTAAAGTATTTGATACCTTATGTGTGTAAACAAATAAATAAACAGAATTATTGAAGTTAACTAGCCGAAGGTTAGCTGAGGTAATGGCAAGTTTGTTTTTATCCATGATCCCGCCTCACTAGATTCAGACCCAGAACTATAAAATTACTAAAATCTCTCTTCTGATAATTATCATATGCTCACTAGTGACTGACTACAAGAGGTATTTCCTGGAGTTCTAGTGAGAAGCAGTAACCAGTGGAGTTCAATCGGGTCTCTTGTGAGATGGTAACTCACTGGAAACAATGATAGACGGCTGCTCAAGTTCGTGGATTGATTGAATTTAGACATGAACACTGTTGAATACCCGCACAGCGGTCTATAGGTTAAGCGTTCTCGCACGAGACAGATAGGTTGTGGGTTCGAATCTATCGAGTTGGGATCGTAGATGTGCACTGCTGAGTAGTCCCACAATAAGATGAAATGGCCATCCAGTGCTTTTAGGTTTTCCATGGTGGTCTAGCTTCAACTGATTCATCATTTCATTCTAAAAAGAAACATTTAATTGATAAAACTATCAATATGAAAATAGTTCAAAAAAATTGTCTGAACTCAGATAAAAATGAAATGACTAATGACTACTTAGTAACAAACCCCCCTCTATTTTATTATTAGTTCAATACACTTTAAAGGAATTCAGTAATAACTCCACTAGAAATTTTAATAGAAGACCCAATGGTTGCAGAAAGTAAGTAATTTTGTATTGAACAGTTTATGTTAATGTATGATTAACAATAATACTGTTATATCCGCTGGTGAATTATGAATGGCAAATCTGAGGTCTATTTATGGACAAATGTAATATGCTTATTTCCTATTGTATAGTTGTTAAATAACTGACCTAATCGCATTCGTGTTCCTCTTATCATAACCTTTATTTTGACCTTTGAACTATTGTTATTGATTACTTCCCCCCTATCTATAGCCACATTGGCCAATTATTGTACAAATGTTATCTTTCGATTTTTTTAGTATATTTTGGTCTGTTTGGTTAGTATATAAACCCAGTATGCTTGTGAATAATGATTCATATTGCCGAGGCTGTTATTTGTGTTCTGGACTTAACTGGCTGGGTTAGGCAGATAGGAAGGACCAGATTGCACCCAAGACTGCTCGTACAATTTCAAGTATCATTTGCGTCTGATCAATATAATCCACTACCTCTCCAATTGCACGTCCATATATATTACGAGTCCTCTACGATATAACAAATACTCATTGATTTCATCGCTATTTCTTCTAGTTGAACTGTACTGTACATATTATTAGATTCTATGAATTTATTCTAAATTTAATTATTACGGATTATATGGTTGTACATGGTTTAAAGTTAAAGGATGTGAATTTAAGATTGTCAAACCTGAAGTTTGTACTGATGATGTCATTTAGATGAATGATGAAAGCTCCATGTCTAAACCATCTAGCTCAAAGAACAAAACTTTATCAAAATAAAATTGTTAATTTTGATATGACTGATATAGAATGTTAACTTGAATCTGTATATATGTTAAGTGAAAATTTAAGATCTGTGATTAGAATATAAATTTAGGTCAGATAGGATGAGAGAGATATGATAGTGCAAATTACAATTCGATCAAGTGGAAGATTAAATTGTGTGAAAAATTAGTGAGACATAATAAGGAGGGATGAATGAGAAGCAAAATGAATCATATATTGAGGAGATTAATAATGATGTTTAACCACTAATAATCATATTTGTGAATAAAAATAACAGAGATAATTACATTCGACTACAAAAGGTCGTAAGCGCAATAGTCAAATTAGGTCATTCAATAGCAAAGATTACTATTAACTAGTTGGCCTTGTGATTGACCAGTACAAAAAGAGTGGTTAGAGATATTTCTATTGTATACATAGCTTTGGCTTCTTCATGTAGATGGCTACTGCCTCAGCCGTTTGAAAGACTTTAAGCCTTACAAGCTTTGGCAAAAAATTACTGA